TTAAAATTCACATGTCTAAGTCGTTTATGCCATAAAACTGTCTCATCAGTAATTGCAGAAAAACACATTAGTGAATGATTTGAAAACACAACATAGCAATTATCAGAAGTTCTAGTTCCTTTCAAAACACATTCACCTTTTTCATCAGTTACAAAACACACTTGTTGAGTAAAATTGACTTGAAACTCTCATCACAGATTTGACTAATACTCAACAAATTAGCAGCTAAACCTTTAACATATAGAACATTTTTTAATTCCCCAATTCCTAGAAATTTGATTTTACCTTTACCACTTACTTTTGAAGCATTACCATCACCAAAAGTAACAATACCAACAATACATTCCTTGAAAGTGGTAAACAATGTTCTATCCCCTGTCATATGCCTAGAGCAACCACTATCAAAGTACCAACCACATGGACCAAGTGCTCTAAGTGTTGTGTGCATGGCAAGGCATTTAAAATTTTCTTTCTTTACTCAAAAAATTTTAGATTCATTATGTAATGATTTCCCTATTGTTCTAGGCAAAGTGTCACAAGACTTATAAGTCCTAATCCTCTTCTTTTTCAAATTTGAACTCTCTAGATTTTTTAATTTCTTCCCTAGTTCAATTTTTCTTTTCTGACACTTATACTTGATATGCCCTTTTTCACCACAAAAATGACATATTGAAATAAGTTTGGGAGAACTAGAGATAATATAAGGTTTGATTTCAACTTTCACAAAAACATCTTTAGATTTTTGAAAATACAAATCCTTTGAAGTTGATACCAAATCTTTGTTACTCCAAATATTCTCAGCCACTTCTTTTAATTTATCAATTCTGCAAGTGTCAAAGTCAACTTTCTAAAAAGACTATTTTGATTTAACAAAATCACTACTAAAATTATCAATTTTTAGTTCCAGTGATTTATTAAACAAATTTACCTTCTAAAACTCTTTTTCCAGAAAATCAATCTTATGAAGAAGATTCAAATTTTTATGGCCAATTTCTTTCAATTTTTTATTAGAGACAGAAACTTCTAACTTATAAATATTTCTATCAAGTTCCGCAAGATTCAAATTCTCTAACAAATTTTTTAAATCCTTTTTAAACTTAAACCATTCAATTTGCATGCTTGTGATAGAATCAAAAACAGGAGTTAAAGATAACACATCAACAGATGAATTTTCAGACATGATGCAAAAATCAACAAATATGATCAATTCAGTATATCGAGTTACCCACTTTGATATCAATTGTAAAAACAGTGTTAACGTAGGGTGCGAAAGTTATTAGTTGATTTTAATTACGATTACTCCTTTAATGACCTAGATCTGATTATTAGGTTAACTTGCTCAATTTATGATTGATTAATTTATATGATCAAATTTAAACATCCACAATCATAAACATAAATACTGAAAAGTAAAGCAAGTTAAAGTTAGAGAGATTGCACTAAGATTTTTAGTGAGGAAACCCTAGTTAATAAAATACGTCAACTGTTTGCATGAAAAAAACCTCGTGGACTGTTCAATCCAAAGTAAACCGATCCACTTTGTTTGAAATAAAGTACACTGAACTTTGACTCTGGCTCACACCCTATCGTTCTACCAAACACCAATTACTAACAATCCTCTGGCTTTGTGACATCCCGTCCAATAGCAACTTGAACTCAGGCTTATGCTTGATCTTTATAGAAGAGTGGTAAGTAGATCAGACAACACTCCTCGAATGCTCTAACCCTTTCAAAGTGTGATCGCTTTTACTTCTATTCTTCACGATCTGAACTCGATATAGAAGAATTAAATCCTATTTTTCATTCAGAATATATAATCTTCAATACAGCTCAAATTCCAATGATATAAAGAACAACACTACTAAATCACTCATGAATATATGTGTGACTCTCATAAATAAATTCAGAATAATCAGATTTGATTTTCTGAATTTTCTCTCTCTAAAGGCTTTCTCAAAATATAGAATTGATGTTCCTTAAATCCATGAATATACCTAGAAGACCAACAAGGTTTATATATAGTTTAGAATATCTTAATCCCTCTGAAAATATAGAAAATTTCATGCATAGGATTTGGAAGGAAGTTGGGATCAAAAAGGAAACAATCAGAAAAAGAAACTGAAAGTTTTGATGCTACCGGGACTTCTGGAACCGATTCCCAAATCTTAGTACCGATTCAAGAAGGTCAGAATCCTTTCTGACATACTTTTGCTACTGGTTCCCAACTGTGGTACCGGTTCAAGAAGGGTAGTGAAGAATTTTGCTGTGAACCAAGGTTTGGTACCGGTTCAAAGATTCTCCTACCTGTTCCCAATGAACAGAAGTGAAAACTTTATTTCCTTCAACCTTCTAAACTCCCTAAAGTGTTCTCACTTACTCACATACCTTCCTAAAGCATTGTTCTCATCATGCCGGAGTGTGGTAAGCCATGAACACTTGAACTTCTTCAAATCCGTATCCGATCTTCGATCTTGAATTTTAGAACTGAAAAGTTTCAACTCGATTGGACTTGTTATGATAACGAAATTAATCAATTACAAAATATATATATCTCACAGTTTTCGCCATTCACTAAGGTCATCGGCCTGATTTCTGCAAAACCGATTTTAGTAAACCAAGTTTGGGCTATCTAACTCATGTAGCCAAACACCCTTCATCTTCTTCACAATTTCAGTCACCAAACTGCGGCTCACCTACGACAAGGACACGGCAGCCTCTGCAACTCTCTCTCGGTAATATAGAAGAACCAGTCGATGGCAAAGGACTAAGTAATCAGCCCCAAATGAAAACACAGATCACAAAACAGTCACAAACGGCAAGTACACAACCAACGACAACTGGCGACAGCAACAGAGGGGCCGTCAGTGGTCATCGATGGGATAAACAGCACAATTAATCTCTGCAAACTTCTCAGTAACCGAAAATTGAAGCTCATCGGTGAAAAAAACTGGCCGATGATTTTGGCCATTGGTTTGGCATAATATAGGTGGCAGTCCAGGTAAGTAACTAGGTTGGAAAACAATTAACATGATGAGAATCGGGAAGAGAAAGAGAAGAAGCGCTCCGCCGACGCAAATTACAACAATCGTTGCCGATAAGACCTCTGTTGTGGCGTTGGCGATATACTCGAAGGTGAAAGCGAGGAAGGAGTCGCTAGTAGGCATCACGTCAAATTCCCTGCCACTAATGAGCTCACAGGCAGCAATACAGAGCACTGGTGAGACGCACTTGCCACAGGAGAAGCTTTAGATTGGAGAAATCGAAGGGAATCTGACCGGAGAGGCGTTTGGCACTAAGGCTAAGGACTCAGAGCTAAGCCAATTTTCTGATTGTGTTGGGTGGAATCTGACCCACAAGACCTACACGGGAAGTTGTAGAGGTGCAACAACCCAGTTATAGCGCACCGACAATGAGTTCTTGATCGGCGTATGGCATCTCGAAGTGGTGGAGCTGCTGAGAGGAGTCATCTTCGTTCCAATGTCTCGGTGTTTAACATAATGACCAACTGTAGCTTCCACCTCTGGATGCTTCTTCTGTATATCTCTTTCTAATTCTCAGCATGTCTGCGGCGATGGAACGTATGAAGGATTAAGGTAGATTTTGTGTGGTGAAACTGCCGAGAGGAGTCATCCCCAATTTGATGTAGATCTTAGGCGAGCAAGAAATAGGCCAAAATACATTTTCCTCTACCTTGCCTGAACCATCAGTCCTTGCTTTTCGTCGGAGTAGATCTCTGTATCACTCTTGAATTTTATTTTGGGTTGATTAATAAAGTGTTCTATATGTGTTTGATGTGTTCTGGGTACAAATTTTGGTTCATTGTATTGTGATTTAACTTATTTGTATACATAGCTTTATCCATATAAAATACTATAAAAATGCTTGTTATTGATTTCTGAATTTCAGTCTCTTCACCATTAGAGAAGACCCAAAAGAGAGAGGTGGTATATACGTTGCTCAGGCCAGAGAGAAGAGAGAGAGGAGAGACGGGAAGATGAATACACGCGTATTCTTTTTTTGCCAACTAGACGCCACCTAGGATTCTGCCTAACAAATCAGCCAAATCCATCGATGTAAATATTATTTTCCTTTCACAATATATTTGAATGTAAAATTATGGGGAGCTGTCGAAGAACTAATACGGACTACTTGCTTATTAAATTCAAAATTAAGAATATTTTGTAAGATTTTCCATTTGCTTTCCACACCAAAGTTTATTTTATAGCTTCGTAAGAAAATTTATGCTTGATTAAATGTTTCTCGAGACCTCTAGTGATGAGTGAAATAGTTTCCTAAATTTAGTAGAAACCATAAGGAACTTCATCCTTATTTTTATCACATAATTTCATTTCAACCATAAACATAGAAAAATAAGGTACTATCAAATACTAACGAGATCACTAAATACATAGGAGGAAAAAGAAGGCACCAACAAATATCAATGTAATCATAAACATAGAAATCAGAGAGCCAAAGTATAACAATCCAACAAATATCCATGTACTGTCAATCACTTTTTATTGTTTATTTTACAATATGATAATAGTTCAAAAAAAAAAACAAAAAAAAAGAAAAAAAAAAGAAAGAAAGAAGCAGCGTATATTACCGGATAAAATGATAAACAAAAGAGATGATAATATACCGGATAAAATGATAAACAAAAGAGATGATCGTCTTACGAATGAGTTATCTAAGTTGTTGTATGAGTTGTCTAGGTAAATATTAGAGTTTAGGAAGAAAATCATCATCTTTTATTACAACATAGTTTGTAATTTTAATTTTTTCACTGACATACGGGTACACTTGGCATTTTGAAAAGTTTTTTTAAAAGTTTAAATTGCTCAAGTTTTTTCAAGAAACTTGTCAAGAAAACGCTCAAAAAAATCTTCCAAGCCCAAAAAAGCCAAAAGTAGCGTTTGAATTTTTTTTACAAACAGGCACTATTTATATATATAATTAATCTATAAGCAAAAGAAAGATCAAAGACACAAAATAAGACTACTAGAAAATGAAACTCAGAGCTTGAGAGACAAGTCTAGCTCTTTTAACTTATCCTGTTTAGTCTTCAAGCCACCACTATGTCCCCACCACTTGACACCAATGTCTTCATCTGATAGAGAACTCATCACCTTCCTCTTGGTGTTGAATCTGCCTTCTCCACCTTGAGACAACAGTCCGGTCAACGTAGTTGCCTGATAATTCTCCGTCGCTAGCTTCCCAATCACCGGTCGTTGGTGATCCATAGGTTGTCTTGACCATCCACCATGTCCATACAAACTTTTGGCCCCAAAAGAATTTGGCACATGAGGAGGCTTATACATCATAGAATGAACCTGAATTCCAAGAGAATTATAATTGTAAGCACCATGAAGAGGGAGTGAAGCCATACAAGAATAATAGTCATAATCATGATGGTCTAAGTAGTAGTAGTTTTGTAACTTCTGTTGTCTTCTTTTTGCCAGAGTCCTCTCTCTCGTGGGCAATTTGGTGTCCTTTAAGTGCTTGTGAACTATAGAATTTTCTTTGGCAATAGTTGCATAAGAAAATTTGTGGCTCGGGATCGATTGGTTAGAGAGTTTCTGATGAATTTTGAGGTGGACCCACGTCGAGGCAATCAATGAGGTTGAGTTCTGGATTGAACATATGATTGGAGACCATGCTAAATAGATTGAGGCAATCATTGGCCAAAAATGTTATGGAAGTGGTTAAGCAGCTCACACTTAAGGTCCTGTCCTTGAATAAGATTTCCATTTGGGTCAGTAATTGACTGTATCTTCCTTCTGTTGGCTTTGGAGTTAAAACTTTTCATGAAGAATGTGGTATTCTGGTCACCCTCTCTAAGCCAGTGAACTTGTGTTTTTTGTTTAAAAAACATCTCCTCAACTAGTAAATGCTCAGAGAATTTCTATAAGAGTTCTTTCTCCCTGAGCCTAAAAACATCATCATCTGGGTTGGAGTCAAGATTCTTTTGGTAAAGGAACAAATCATCTCTGGAAGCTGCTACCCTTTCTGAAATAGAACTGAATTCCTTCTTGTTTAACAGTTTCAGAGGCTGCTTGAGAGCTCTTAATTTCTAAACCAACCTAAACATTCTTGAACCATGCACTTTCATTTACTAAATTTGTGAAACAACGGTTGCAAAGCTTGGATGTAAGGCCCAGAAATTAAAGAATCTAAATGGGAGGTTTCTTTTAGGAGCAAGGGTTCCAAAGTTAACCATCATAGGTAAATGGTCTGAAATTCCATTTGTTAGGAAATGGCATTCTGCTTATGTGAATTCGACATCCAAGGTTGGTTGATAAGGACCCTGTCAAGCTTCCTTGAGATATTGGCACATCCAAAGCTTCTATTAGACCATGTATGGAAAATTCCATTAAATATTAGGTCCTCAAGACCATTCGAGCTCAGAAAATCCTTAAATTCTGCCATTCCATTAGTCAACCTAAGGGTTCTATCAAATGAGTCGTTTACATGTAGGAGAACATTAAAATCACTAAGTAAAATCCAAGGGTCATTTGAGGAAGAATTGAGCCTCAGGTTCCTCCAAAGTGCTCTTCTATCCACTGCAGTATTTGCAGCATAGATGAAAGAGGTTCTACAATTCACCTTCGGATCCTTGAGGAAAATAGAGCAATTGATTGCCTAGCTGCATTCATTTGATGAAACTATCTCTACACTGAGTGAATCCTACAAAATCTAAACCTTCCCCAACACTGAGGTTGTGTAATTGCATTTAATTAGCCAATGAGGAGCAATTCTCCTGTGAATTGATGCCACATTCCCATTGCAAACCTTGTTTCAAAGATGGCCATCATGCTCAAACCATTATCTCTAATGAGATGGCTAACCTCTTCTTATTTGAGGGGAAAGTTGAGCCCTCTTATGTTCCATGCTCCCCAAATCATTGGGATGAGGTTTTGAGGTTACACATACCTTTATACCCTTTTAGGGTAGTCAATCCTTTTGCTATTCTTGCCCTTCTCTCAATTGTTAAGTGCTTTGAATGTGTAGGTTTCCTTGGTTTAAGGATTCTTTCAATAGCAAGAGAGAATGCTGGGTCATTGTTGCTAGAAATTGTCTCTTTATCAGATGAGGAAGCTAAATCGGCTGAGTATTCATTGTCTTCTTCCAAACTTTCAACTGGCAGTACATCAAATTGATTTGAGGTTGTAATGGGGGAGCTGTAACTGTATTTTTCTGTTAGTCTTAAGGTTGGAGGGTGTGAGGTCAATAACAAAGTTTATTGCTTTTGTGTTGGCTGCAGTTGTCATTAGGGTTTCGACAGTTGGAGGGTAGCTTACACTGGGTAGTAGGAGTAGAGGAAGTTGGTTAACTACAGCTGAGGGTGTGGTTGTCTTCTCCAAGTTTGGTATGGGGACCAATGGTTCACACAGATTTGATGAGGTTGTAGCTTCATTCTGTTGCTGAGAGTTAGCATTCGGGAATGGATTAGGAATAGGTCTACAGACAGATCTTCCATTGCATTTAGTAACCATCTGCCAGTTATTCGAGTCTGTGGGATTCATTAGGATGCCTCTACCCTCTTGTCCTATTTTACAAGACTCGTTGTCATGGCCAAAGGTTAAGCAAGTAGGACACCTTTAGGGAATCCATGGGTACTGAATTCTTACAGTTTCAAAACTATCATCCAATCGGACTTGGAATGAGGATGGCAATGGTGAAGTAGGGTAGATTTCAACACATAGCTTGTCATAGTCAATTCGACTCTTATTCCCAGTGTTTTCATCCGCAAATAGGGGTTTACCCACTGCACTACCCAAGTAACTAAGACCTTTAGGTGACCAGTATTCAAATAGGACATTGAATAGCTTGATCCAAATTGTAATTTTGCTTGGAGAGGAGGAGGAAATATGTGCTTCTTGATCCCACAATGTGATACCCCCGAATTTCTGGATGCGGGTTGGCAAAGTCCATGCCCGATTACCCGAGGAAATCAAACAAATCAGTAATAAACGAACACAAAAGACAGATAAGATAAACAAGAATAAATAAAACTGCTGAAAAGAAACTAGAATGATAATCCAAAACTGAAAACCTCAAAATAAAATTTTATAAATAAAGTATTAATCTGATACATCCAACTTTTCCAATTCCAATACAACTCGAGAATCCATCTGGTGGACCCCTAATCAAAACCAACACTGGAAAGCGAACAACTGAAAAGAAGTCCACTGCTAAACCATGAAGAAACCTCCTACGTTGTCGGTAGAATGAGTAGTCATCTCTGCTCAGCACGAACAAGCTCTAAGACCTGGAACCGTCCATTACCTGAAAATAATAGTGGGTCAGGCCCACGAACAAGTTCTATCCTAACTACAGTCCAAACAGAGACCCGATACGCAGATACATCCTAGATGTCCCAACCATATCTATATAGTCCGTAATAGATAAATATATATCCACACTACAGGACTCTCACTAAACTATGCTGAGGGTCTCAACCTGAATAAAAGGCAACATGCAATACGCACCTGAGTGGGCATGACTACCTAAGCCTAACAGGGTATACCTCAACCAACATAGCTAGCTACGCATCCTACTGCATATACGCTCCCTAACCGTCGACTATGAGACTCAAGTTCATGTCACGGTACCATAACAATATATATATAATCCGTTCACATTCATCCATAAGAAATCCAGTAAGTCGTTCGGCGTATTCAACCGCACTGACTCATATATATAAGGAGGATTTTATTTAACAACCCGTACCCTTATTCCAAAATAGGTAGGACTGAGTATTTTGAATCAGTCTGTCCCTAGTATGCCACGGTCCCATACCAGTGCATACAATCCACAAAATCCATATAATTGATTGAACAGGTAAAACTGTTCACCAATTAAAATCCATAAAGTAGGAATTAGCGTTTTGAGCCAAACCATACCTAATATGTCACCGTCCCATACCGGTGCATACAATCCTCCATATCCATGTAAATTACAACATATAAATAATAAGTAAGTAATTTACAGTCCAAAACCAAATATCCAAATAATTGCAGAAAGAAGATTAACAATCTTGCAATTAAAATCCAGTATTAATCCATGTAATTGCATCAAAGAATTTAATATTCTAACAATTGACATCCAAGGCATGCATAGTTCCAATCTAAAATAAAAACCTTATCATGCATTTAAAACAAGTTTTATTAACATACTGGATCCCATTAAATTGCTAAAAATTTAATGAAGCAATTAATCCGTCTTCCATCCGTTAACAGCATAGAAAATTTATCAATTTTATACTGTTTGTCCCATTGATTTAGAAATCAACTTTAATCAATTCAAGGTTTTAATCTCACCCAAATTAACTATTTAATCCCTCTGTGAAGTCCTATTAAATTTCTGAAATTTAAACAAGCCACTCAGTTCCTTTCTTCTGTTAATAGCATGAACAGTTGTATATTTTTACACTGCTTCATCCTTTATCATAGAGACTTAAACCATGCAATAATAAGTTTAATAACACTTAGAATTAACCATTTAGACCCTCTGTAAAACCTCAGAGTCAACAGAACAGTTCCCATGCTCCAACAGTAAACAAACTGTTCGTTAAAAAAATAAATAAATAAATAAAAAATAAAAATAATTCAGAAAACACTATTGAAGAGAGCCTTCTCCAAAAAACTGGAGAAGGCTTTAAACTCCTAGAGCCTTCTCTAAAAAACTGGAGAAGGCTCTAAACCATTTAGAGCAGGCTCCCACATTCCAGAGCCTTATCTTTTTTCCTTTGAGCCTTCTCTTTTGCTTTCTATTCCACTTGCATTATTGCATCTCTTATGCACTGAGAGCTTATAACAATACCTAGGTTGCATGTTAATCATTTTAGTTTACTTCCCACACAGTTCCAGATTCAAGAATCGTCCACACAGTTCCAAACAAAGCCTAAAAACTACTCCAGAACCCATCCAAACAACCTTGTACATGAAAGCCATCATAGAGCCTGCTCTAAAAAAAAGTGGAGCAGGCTCCAAGCATCCTAGAGCCGGCTCCCTAGCCCTTGGAGCCGGCTCTGCAAAGGGGGAACCGGCTCCCCACTTCTAGAGCCGTCTCTCTCTTCCCCTCTCTGAGAGCTGCTCCTTCTTGCTTCGTTTTGCATCATCTGTTCATCTCCGGCCTCTTCCTACCCTTCTGTTCTTCCTTAAGACTAATTTTAACAGTCTAATATTTATACATTGCCATCCCAGTTCTTGGTTTACAACAATAAGTACCACAACAACAATTAAAACCATAACAGTTTCATGCTTTAAAACTAACCACGAAGAACAGAAATGCAAGGAAAATTTCAGACATATTGTAAACATATACAAATGATTATATTGGCATATGATAGGCATGCAAAAACTTAATTAATATTTAATTAAAACCCTAGAGACCATCTAAGAGTGCACAAAACACAGGCCAAGGGGAGAGAGACAGAATAGAACTTACCTTTACAGTTTTGGATTCAAAACCATGTCGCCGTCTTCATAAGCTTTCCCACAACGTCCGAGTACTGTCAACTCCACCTTCTACTGCTCAGTCTTCCCTTCTGCCTAATTCGCAACCGAAACCCTCACCTAGGTTA